TGGGTAAATAGTTGCTCTTGCAGATATTTTCAATGGCTTGAATAAGACTTTTCTTTCTGCAGGGGGAAGGGTAGAAACAACTTCCCGCTTCAGCAGGGAAGGTGATGGACCTTGATCCGCAAGGATTGTGCCACCACAGGTGCCATGGCTGCTTTGGGATTCCCGGAGCAGAGGACATCCCGCACGTTTGCATCACCCCACTGCTTGGATTAATCTCCAGCTCCAAGCCCCCAGTTTCCCTGGCTGCCACGGGCCAAGGCTCCCGTGGGAAGCAGCTCACATGGCCGGACCGTGGCTAAAGCGGCCGGACCGTGGCTAACAGAGCCGCCTTTGAAGTCCGGCCGTCCCCAGGCCCCGGGGAGCTGGGCCGGCTCTGAAACGCACGCTCACAGCAGCCAGAGCCGCGGGAGCATCGCGGCCATCCAAGCCTCCCACTGCGGGTCATCCCGACCGGCTCCTTCCCATAAAGTCATAAATCCACCTCCCGGGAATAACGCTGCTAAACCTGGGATTAGGCTCTCCTGGAAAGGGGAATTAGGTGCAGACCCCTCGGACCAGCGAGGAAAGGACTTGCTGCTGTTGGTGGAACAAAGAGTCTTTTGTCCGCATTTGACGTTATCAGGAGTTATTTTTAGGTCAACGCCTGCACTTGCTGGTGTTGTCGGGATTATCTGTAAATCGGCAGACCTTCAAAGACACTGCCTGAGCACGAAGAGGGAGGAAATCCTTGTGTTGTCTCTTGCAAGGGACATTTGCCCTTGGGCTCGGCCTGATAAGGGTTTATTGCTCGAAGTGGGGAATTCCTATGAAAGCCCTACAACTTCTTAAGAGTCCTAAGAGCTCCTAAATCCATTAAAGCTCCTAAATATGCTTAAAGTTCCTGAAAGTACTAAAATATCCTGAAAGCCCTGAAAGCTCCTAAAGCCCTAAAATGTCCCGAAAACCCAACAACATACTAAATGCCCTAAAACCCCCTAAAGCCCTAAAAGTTCCTGAATATCCTTGAAGTTCCTAAAAGCCCTAAAAACTGCTAAAAGCCCTAAGAGTTTCTAAACCCCTTCAAAGTTCCTAAAAGCCCCAAAACCCCTTCAATTTCCCGAAAGCCCTAAAAGCTCCAAAAGAATACTTCCAAAATCCTTTAAAAGCCCTAAATCTTCCTAAAAGCTCCTCAAGGCTGTGGTGCTGGCGGCGGGCAGGAGGGAACCGGCAGATCAGGGCGGCGTGTTGGGATGGGATGTGATGGGATGGGCAGACTCCGGCAGGAGAGGGCACGTCGCACCAGGCTGCTGCCAAACAAGCGAGACAAGTGTGGGCAGGGGAGCCCCGGCGCCGTCTGCAGCTGAGGGCTGAGCCAGCCCCACTGCCAGCTCTGCCAGCCCCACTGCCCAGCTCTGCCAGCTCTGCCAGCCCCACTGCCCAGCTCTGCCAGCCCCACTGTCAGCTCTGCCAGCCCCACTGCCAGTGCTGCCAGCCCCACTGCCCAGCTCTGCCAGCTCTGCCAGCTCCACTGTCAGCTCTGCCAGCCCCACTGCCCAGCAGTGCCAGGTTGCCCAGACCCCCTCAAAGCCTCTTGGGTGCCCCCAGCAAAATGTCACCATAAACAGGGCTCAGCCCAGCTCTGGTGCATGGAGGAGGATGAGGATGAGGAAGCAGATGGGTGCTGGTGGGAGGGGATGCCCCTCGATCTCTCATCCAAATCTGGTGAGAAATGCCAGGGCAGCCTTGGGAATCTCGGAGGGTGGTGATCCTAGGGAAATACCTCAGCTACTTTTGAGCGCCTGTGGGTGCTCGTGTTCCCCACTGCTGCCATTCCACTTCCCTCTGCCTTCCTCCTGGGAAAACATCCGGTGGGGAGGTGGGTCCACCCCACCCCACATTGGGATTTCTCCCTCAACGATAACAGCGACTCAACAGGTGCCAGGGTAGTAAAACCTGAACCCGTAGGCACAGCAACAAACCCGGATTATTTGTTTAGGCTCGGCTTTGCAAATAAACCCCTGGTGATGTCAGGGAAGTCTGGGGGAGAACTGGTTCCTGCGGGTACCTGCACAAGCACCATGTGAGGATGCTCCCATGGGATGCAGTAACCAGGCTCATCAGCCCCCCAGCAGACAAGTCCCAAAGGCAGATCCCAAAATGGAGTCAAGGTCTTCTCCAAACCTTCAATTTCCCAAGTGGATTTAGTATCTTTCCTGACTGCTTGCTTCCCCAAAATCTGGAGCGTTTGCTATAATTCCACAGCCTCGCCCCTGAAGCCAAGGCTGGCTCTGAAGCCTGAGGGCACCGTGGTGCCATCAGCCTTCCCCTCCTGGGGAGAAAAGGGTGGCACAACCCCTCCAGCAGCCTGGCCCTGGCCTCCTGCCAGGTAAAGTGCCCAGAACGGTAAATGGCACCATTTCTCCTTGAGGAGATTATGGAGAGCCCCTCCTGCCCATGCTGCCAGGCACTGGATGGAGCTGGCCCTGGCACTGGCGGGGTGGGAGGCTCCTTCCCAACCCGTGTCCCCTGGGGCTTCGAGGAGTGCTTCAGCCCTGCTCCTGATGTGGCAGGGTGGCAAAAGGGTGACCCTTGGCACCAGCAGCGGGCTCAGCTACCCAAGAACCAGCATGTCCCACCAGTCCCCAAAAGGCTCCGCTCCCTGGGGACCACCCAGGGGTGCTGTGTTCCCGCTGCCAATGCAACCACAGCGTGATTGTTTTCCAGCAGCACCGGATACCAGGAGAAGGTGGAAGTATGCAGGCATCGGCAGCCAGCGTGACTCACACCACAAACCCCGAAATCTGGAGACAGGGAGAAAGGGCACGGAAAGTGCTGGGATATGGCTCTCCCGCGGTGGCTCTCGTGGGGGAAAATCGGGAACTTGGCACCTCACCAAAGCCGCAGACCTGTCAGTGAATAGCTGAAGTCACCGCCGGAGCGGTGAGCCATGCACAGCTCATTCCCGCACGGCGAGATGTGAGCCGGGGGCACGGCGGGGCCCGGCGGGATGCAGGGAGGGGAAGGAG